ATGAAAATATATAAGGCATACAAAATCTTAACATTCTTGTTGGCAGGGGCAGAACCACAAGTTTTGAAGAAAAACTAATAATAAACCACAAATGTCATGCCTTTTGGTTTTTTCCTTTGCAAAATCTATTACCTTTTGTTTTGTTTTTCCTCAAAGTCTGTTTCTTTATTAGCTGCTTGTGGCAAAAGATTTTTGGGAGTTTCACTAAAACACCCAAAATGGGGGCTAAAATTATAAAAAAACCCAACACCCAAAACACTTTATAAACACACCCAAAACCCATCATTACACACACTCAAAACCCATTTATAAATACACCCAAAAAATATACAATTGTTGATTTTGGGGTTGATTTTGGGTGTGTTTCTATGTTTAAATAGTGCTTGGGTTTTTTTTATAAATACATGTCTAGGATTGGGTTTATTTATAAATTTGTAAAGATTTTTTAAGAAGGGAAAAAAAACCTAATTATATTGTTTTGTGTTTACAACTAATATATATATATATATATATGTGAAACATAATTATTTATATTTTTGCACGTTGCATTTTAGAAGTTTATTCGGTTGATGCCAAGAAATTTTAACGTATTCAAACTGCAAAGGTAAAAATATCATTAAATTTTAAGCTAAAAATTTAGCTACCGCACCCACCAAAAAATTCTTTGTTCCGCCCTTGCTTGTTGGGTCTCTATACCTACTTTAAACATTACATATTCAATATTTTGCATGCTAACCCTTCTAATGGCTTCAAAATTCACCTCATTTTTCGAACTCCGTTTATTAAAATTTATCTCTCGATGACCAACATTAGGCAAGCCAATTAGTTCCTCAACATCAAACTGTGTGAACCTTTCACATCTACCACCCAGTCTGAAATAGCTTTGAAACACTTAATTAATCTAATTATATATATAAGTCTTCTTATCCATGTTGTTACTCATCATAAGCTTTTAAAAAGACCCCAAAATGGTGTTTCCCTTATAATTTCACAATGTTCTTTTTTAGCACTCAATCTCAAAGCATTAAAAAAAAAGGGCCCAAAACGAGACATGTACTACAGTTTTCCAAACTTTCTCTCGTTCATTTCCATTTCCAAACATGGAATAGTTTACCTATAAACACAACAATTTACCTCCATCATCATCCATTTACCTAGAATTATATGCCTAAGAATATATTTAGTAATTTACGTACTATTTCAATTATATATATTTTTAATGTATATTTTTAAAGAATTATGAAAACATATCCTCTCAATCATGCCCAAAGGAGAAAAGCAAACTCAAATTAGATACGTTTGACTAGAAAAAATTGTAATGGCGATGGGTTAACTATAAAAGTGATAAGTCCGTAAATATACAATTATGTACTCTTTTTACTTAGGTTTTGTAGGAGAATTAGATTTAAAAGGGGCTTACTTTGCTTTTCTGATTTTCAGCTTTTCTGCAATCTTATAAGGTTTTTAAGGGAAAATCAACTTTTCGAAGGAATTTTAGCACAAGGCCAATTGGAGATGAAAGCTAACTACTAGAAGTTCAATCTGTGATTTTTCTAGAATTCTCTACATAGCCAATTGGTACAGTATTACAAGTAAAGTTAGCCCACGTGCAGACAGGACAGTTTTGTACATGTTACGTGAATGTGAAGAAACGGAAGCCTTCCCGAATTTTCCAAGTTACTGCTATATGTGGTTGGAAAGATAAGACATTTATCTTTATAAAATATATTTTTAATAATTTTTCTAGAAAGCCGAAGATCCCCAAATCATGTGACAAATGAGCTAAGCTGTATTTCCCTATGGAGTTAGGAATTGTGATCCTTACTTTCCTATTTGGATTCCTTGTTTACCAAGACTTCTTGGACAACTTTTCAGTCAATTTTAGGGTTTAGAACTCTGATATAAGTGATATAAAGGCCAACCAAGTAGGGGTGGGCATCTTAAACCGAAATACCGAAACCGTACCCTAACCGCACCGTACCGTACCGATTTTATACCGTTTCATTTGGTACCGATAGATATTCGATACCGTACCGTACCGTACCGAATAGAGTATGGTATGATAGCGGTATCAAGATTTTGATACCGGTCAATACCGTACCGTACCGAATAGTACTTAAATTTAATTAAAATTTTTTTTTCATTCTCTCACTGTCTCTGTCTCTCGCTTGCCTCTCAAACTGAAACACCAAAGCCAAACCCTCTCAGACAAAAACGAGCACGCTCTCACTCTCAGACTCTCAAGTCAACCCGTGCAAACTCAAAGCCAAACCCTCTCAAATAGAAACGCAGCACGCTCTCACTCTCAGACTTTCAAGTTAGCCCGTGCAAGCTCTCCTCCATACCCAGACCCAGCTCCCTGTCTCTCTCTCAATCTCACTCGATTCAAGCTCTCTCTGTCTCTCACTCTCTCAAACTCGATCTGTCACAATGTCAGTCTTTGGATTTCTTGATCTGTCTCTGTCTCACTCTCTTAATCTCTCGATTTCTCTATCTTCCTGATCTCTCTCAAGCGCTCAGCCCTCTCTCAACTCTCTGGAATAAGAAGCATCCCCAAATCGACGAAGGGACAAATGGTAAGTTTGTTGTGATTTTTGTTAATTTATTTAGGGTTAATTAAATACGAATAAAGTTGAGGGATTGTGCTGTGTTGTTGTGATTTTTGTTAATTTTTTGTTAATTTATTTAGGGTTTATGCTGTGTTGTTAATCTTTAGGGTTTATGCTGTGTTGTTAATCCAAGTATAAAATAAAATGCCTATGTGATGACAAAGTATGGTATGGAATGCAAGACTAACCTTGTAAAACTTTTGTTGTTGTTTTGCTTTCGGGGGTCTGAAAACCTCTGCAAACTTGGTTTTGTGACATGATATTTGACTTGGTGCCTGATGAGGATATTGGTTGTTGGTGCCTGATGAGGATATTGCTTGTTGCTGCTCTGTTCTTATCTGTTCATTCTTGTCATGCAGTCTCGATCAAGTAAGCATCAGGAGCACAGTGGGCTTGCTGTTTCTTCAACGGCAACATCACCAGCACCACCACAGTTTGCTGTGCAGCCGGAAGCCCAACCTTCTGAAGCTCATGTGCCTGAGCCAATGCAAGCCCTTGAGAGTGAAGATACAGAAATGGTTAGTGAACTGAACTCAGATGGCAAAGGTAGAGGTAATAAGAGAAGTTGGGTTTGGGATCATTTTACACCCTATGATGATAAAAAAACTGTCAAAAGAAAAGATGAGGCCACAGGGAAGATGGTAGATGTAGAAGTTGTGAATAAAAGAGCTAAATGCAGATATTGTCCTAAATCTAAACTTGGTCTTGGAGATTATGCATGTGATAGTGGAAAAAATGGGACTTCGGGAATGATAAGCCATATTAGAAAATATTGCAAATACTACCCACCTAACCAAGATAAAACACAAAAGATAATCACTGGTGATAGAAGTCAGAGTAACAAAATGGTTGCTAGGGGGTTTTTGCAAAGTGATGTTATGGATGCATGTGTTGAAATGATTGTGATTGATGAGCTGCCATTTTCTTTTGTAGAAAAGAAAGGTTTTAAGAGGTTTTGTAGTGTTGCTTGTCCAATGTTTGAAGTGCCTAGTAGGAGAAAAACAGTGAGGCAATTTCTTAAAATGTATGATACACAAAAACAGCAGTTGAAGAATGATTTAAGTGCACATAGGATCAACCTCACGACTGACACTTGGACAAGTGTCCAAAACACCAATTACATGGTGCTTACTGCACACTTCATAGATTGTGATTGGAAAATGCACAAAAGGGTTTTAAACTTTTGTGTTATTCCTAATCACCAAGGCAACACCATAGGAGACCTCATTGAGAGTTGTTTATTACAATGGGGTATAGAGAAGGTTTTAACCATTACTGTGGACAATGCCTCTGCAAATAAAGTGGCAATTGATTGGGTGAGATATAAAATGAACAAATGGAACAATTCACAGGCTGTTTTGGGTGGGAAATACTTACATATGAGATGTTGTGCTCACATCACTAATTTAATTGTGTCTAGTGGGTTGAGGAAGCTGCAAAAATCTGTTATGGCAATTAGGAATGCTGTGAGGTATGTTCGGTCATCTCCACAGAGATTGGATTATTTTAAAACCTCTATTGAGAAGGAAAAACTGACCTGCAAAGGTCTTGTATGCATGGATGTCCCCACAAGATGGAATTCAACATACATGATGTTGGATGCAGCCTTGAAATTTAAGAAGGCTTTTACTAGAATGGCAGAGGATTTGAACAGCCCATTCATGGCTTATTTCAAAGAGGCAGATGAGGTAGTTGATGAGGATGGTGTAGTTCAGACTAATAGTAGGCAGTGTCGGGTTGGACCACCAACTGATGTAGATTGGGACAATGCAACAGTGTTTGTGAGGTTTTTGAAGGTGTTTTATGAGGTGACCTTAAAGGTGAGTGCATCTTTGCACCCCACAATTCATAAAACATTTCACGCAGTTATTTCCATGGAAAAGGAGATTGACAAGTTGTTTGTGGCACCTGAATTTGCTACTGGTTCAGATGCAGAGAAAGTGTTGACTGACATGGCTGGAGCTATGAGAACAAAATACAATAAGTATTTTGTTAAATATCAAGATTTGAACATGTTAGTGTTGATTGCACTTGTTTTGGATCCAAGGTTCAAGTTGAGGCATATCACCCATCTCTTAAAAAAGGAAAAATTTGATGAGGATGATGTGCAAATAAAGACAAGAGAAGTGAAAAGTGTGTTAATGGCTCTCTATGATGAGTATGTACCAAAGGTAGATGGTGGCATTCACATGAGACAAAATTCTACCACAGAAAATATAGGATCTGCAAGTGGTAGTAATAATATTGGAGAAAGTGTTGGTGATGATTTTCTAGATGATTGGATTAGGGAGGTGGAAGAGAGTGATGAGACTGTGGTGTCACATGAAGTTGATTCTTACTTGACAGATCCTTTGGCATTTGTTTCCAAAGATGTTTTTTTTTGACATATTGATGTGGTGGAAACTCAATGGACCCAAGTATCCTGTCTTAGCAGCAATTGCGAAGGATGTCCTTTCAATTCAACCTTCCACAGTGGCATCTGAGAGTTGTTTTAGCACTGGTGGCAGAGTCATAGATGCATTTAGGAGTTCATTAACTCCTAGATCAGTGGAGGCTTTGATATGCATGCAAAATTGGTTGAAAGGGGATGAAATTTCAAGCTTAGAAGATACACCTTCGATTGAAGAATTTGAATTTTATGAAACCATTGAATCAGGTAAATTATTTTAAATATTGTTTGTTATTTATATTAGTTTGCATTGAATTCTTTCTAATGGTTGTTTGGGTAATTTGCAGAATATGCAAATGATGGGGATACTTGAATTCAAAGCTAGGGGCTGCAAATGAAGCTTGGATTGCATAAATTTATGTTTTTGTTATTTATGTTTGGATTGTGTTTGTATTTTTGTAAGCCATAATGCATAATTTTAACTATTTTGGTTTGTAAGCCATAGGGCATGAGTTTTAACCATTTGAATTTGATGAATCTCTTGATGGATAAATATTGATTTGGTTGATTTGGATATTGAATATGTTGATGGATATTTAATATGTTGATTGGGATTTGAATATTGAATATGTTGATGGATATTGAATATGTTGATTAGGATTTGGATATTGAAATTGAATATGTTGAATCTTTGAATTTGTAACTTAGGCATCATTTATTTTGGTGTTGAATATTGAATTGGTTCATTTTTTAGTTGTATCATTTTGGTACCGATACCGATTTGGCACGGTACGGTACGGTATCAATTTTGGCAAACCATAATCTCATACCGTACCATACCGATTTAAATTTCCGGTATCGGTAGCGGTACGGGTTCAATACCGTACCATACCGTACCGTGCCCACCCCTACAACCAAGGCCCCCATACAAGGGATTCACGTCCTAAGGAAATCAACCACATAAGAGGAGAAAGCTACCAACGAGTTCTTTCTTTTTCTTTCTTCTTTTAATTTTCAAGTCTTATGTATTTATTTTTTAGTACATCCAAGAACATGAGTAACTAATTTCTTGTTAGTTAGGGCTTAATCTTGAAGCCCTAAACATGATTTCAATCCTATAAACAAGTTTTAATGGATTTTTTAGTTTCTACAAGCATGATGATTTCGGTTTCTCTATGTTATGTGAATTCTGATATTTTGCTTCTTTGAGTAGCTAACTTTGAGGCATGTATTGGAATTAAATTGTTGTAGAACATAAGTGAATTGCCATATTGAATGTGTTCTTATTTGCAACGAATAATTGGGTTAAGAATTAGTTATGAGAAATCGATTCTTGAATTCCTAATAACAAATACCATGTTTTAGGGTTTTTGTGACACTCATATTCTCTTTGATCTTAATGGATTCTTGATTGTTAATTTGAGTAAATGCCATATTGGATTTCAATTAAGAATACACGTGACGCAGCACAAGCAAATACGTTTTCAAGCAAAAATCCTAAAGAACAATAGTCTAGAATCCACCATGAAATTAGAGAGAAAATTCTCCTTAAATTATTTGATAAAAGTCGAGATGATTTCAACCAAGCATGACAGCTGATTAAATACAACGTTCTCACCCATTGGACTGCCCTGGAGAGTTACTGAAAACGTAACAGACAAGAAACGAAAAGTCTGTAAATTGAATACTACGTTCTCACCCATTGGATTGCCCTGGGGAGCTATTGATAACGTAACAGAAAAGAAACAAAAAGTCTATAAATTGAATACTATTTTTAAATGCACTTTTGGAAGGCCAAACGACTTCAGAAGTCCAAATCCACCATATATCACAGCATAATAGTGAGTTGGACTCATGACGTCATTCCCTTTTCGAGAATGTATTATGCGACCCAATCGAAACTCGAACGCCAAATCTGCAAATTCCTGCTATGTCCTTTTTCACTTCTTCGCTCCAGTTCTTCTTCAATCCATTCAGCCGTTTGTTCTACATTAGTCCCCTCCACCTCCGAAGAACTTGACCCCGAGTTATGTTCAGGATAAAAGGTTTCATCTTCACGAAACTCATATAAATCAGCAACATTAAAAGTATTGCAAATTCCCATAGAATCTGGTAATTCAATAACATAGGCATTGTCATTGATTTTTTTCAGCACCTTGTAAGGACCATATTTTTTAGGCTTCAGCTTGCTATATGCACCAACAGGGAACCTCTCCTTCCTCAGAATCTCCTTCTTGAAACACCTTAACTCGCCTATGCTTGTCTTCAACAGCTTTGTACTTAGCATTAGCTTGTTCAAGTTTTTGCTTCACTTCATCACGAACAACCACCACTTCTTAGCCAATTTTCCCGCTGCAATACTGGTTTTCTGGCCTATAGGCAGCTTCACCAAATCTACAACATGATTAGGCACAGCAGTATAAATAATGGAAAATGGTGACTTCCCTGTTGCACTATGAACTCTGCACTGTTATATGCAAACTCCACCTGTGGTAGTGCATAATCCCATTGCTTCAGCTTCTCTTTGCAAATGCTTCACACCATATTTCCCAATGTTCGATTGGTAACCTCAATATGGCCGTCAGTTTGAGGACGGGCAGTGCTACTACGGTTCAAAGTAGTCCCAAACATTCTCAACAAAGTGATCCAAAAAATTGGTCAAAGAACCACAACAAAAGAACCAATAAATGGTCGAAGAACCTAATTTATAAGTCTCATGAAGGTGCTAGGCGCATTTGACAATCCGAACGGCATCACCAGCCATTCATATAACCCTTCCTTGCTCTTAAATGTTGTTTTCCACTCGTCGCCCAGCCTGATGCGAATTTGGTGGTATCCGCTACACAAATCTATTTTGGAAAACACCTTAGAGCCTTCGAGCACATCCAACATATCTTCCAATCGCGGGATGGGAAATCTGTATTTTATTGTAATCTTGTTGATTGCTCGACTATCAGCACACATACGCCTTGACTAATCTTTCTTTGGAACAAGAAGGACTGGAACCGCACAGGGACTCAAGCTCTCCCTGATGAAACCCTTCTATAACAACTCTTCAATATGCTCTCTTAGGATGTCGTTCTCCTTAGGGCTCATGCGATAATGTGGCAGATTTGGTAGACTAGCCTCAGGTACCAAATCAATGTGGTGTTGTATATCTCTCAACGGCGGCATCTCGTTTGGCAGCTTGTCAGAAAATAGTTCCTGAAATTTTGACAAAATCTGTTGCACTTCAGGAGGAATTACATTTTCTTCTTTGATGGCCTTTAATAGCCCCTTCAACACCATGGGACAAAAATAATCTGCTTCTTTTATTGCCTCATTTAACTCTTGCTCGCTGCTGATCAGAGTTGGAAAACTAGAACTCTTAGTTTTGGGCTCAACTGATTTTTTTTTACGGCACTATAGTAGCCATCGCAGTCTTGTGGTTATTCGAGGAAAACAATATCACATTATCTCGACCCTTAAAGGTTGCATCCACATCAAATTGCCAAGGTCGCCCCAACAAGATATGACATGCATCCATATCAATAACATCACATATGACATCATCTCTGTAATGCTTACCAATGGAGAGTGGCACGCGGAAAGTCTCAGCAACACGAACTGAAGGTCCCTTTTTAACCCAACACAGTGAATAAGGGCTGATATGTGTCTCTGTTGGTAGCTGCAAATGCTCCACCAATTTTTTTGACGCAAAATTCTCGCAACTCCCATTGTCTACGATCACATCACATATTTTATTTTTGATTGAACAAAGAGAACAGAAAATGATGTGTCGTTGCCCTTCCTCTTTTGGTGCCAAAAGAACACTCTGTAAAACCAAAGTAAGCCTTTCCATTCCCTCCTCCATTGCAAACTCAGCCCCTGCATAATCATCGTCTACAACTTCGTCATTTTCTTCGTCATCATTGACATCCTCTATAAAATTAGCTTGCCTCCGCTCGGGACAAACGTTGGAATGATGCCTTGGTTTTTGGTATCGGTAACAAATATCCGTCATGGGCTTAGCATATGGATTCTCCTTCTAGGGTTGGTTCCGGGTCTGCACTCTATTGGAAGACCGGCTGCTTCATTGTTGCTTTTACTTTGGAGGTTCGACGGCTTTGACGATCCGCCGAAGTTTTGCTGCTACATTTTCCCCTTGTCACTAGGAAAAGTAGCAACATTTTTTAAATGATCCATCGTGTTCCTGGGATAATTAGTTTGGCGTTTCTCCTTCTCCAACAACTCAGCCTTTAACGTCATATTAATCGCCTCCTGCAAAATCCACATATTCTTCAAACCAATTTTTTCTTGAATGGAAATTTTCAGGCCATTAATATACCTTGCAACCTTTTGGTTTTTGGTCTCGGTCAAATGATTACGCTCCACTAGACGCATAAACTCTTTAGTATATTCAGAAACTGAACGATTGCCTTGCGCACAGACGATGTATATGCGGTACATAATTTGTTCATAATCAGTAGGTAGGAACTGATCCATCATAAGCTGCTTCATCTTTCGCCACGTACGAACCCATTGCTTTCCTTGCCTCTGTCGTGAATTCTGCAACTGATCCCACCATACAGCTGCTGTAACTTTCAGACAGAAATCGACCATCTTCACCATTTTGTTCTCTGGAACCTCCATAATTTCAAAGAACCTCTCCACTTCTACCAACCCATCCAAGAAATCTTCAATTTTCAGGTTTCCCCAAAAATTAGGGATTTCAACTTTAATCCGATAATCACCAAAATTGTTGTGATTACGATGAGGTGGATTGTTAACTGGTGGTGGTTCCTCAAGTTCTTCTTCGGACTCCGACTCACCCTCTAGAACACATTGTCTCCTATTATTTCTTCCAGCATTGCCTCCGTGGTTGTTGTCTCTGTCTTCTCTTCTATTGTTATCTATGTCTTCTCTTCTATTGTTATTTCTGTCTTATCTTCCATTGTTGTCACCAATAGCTTGTAACAACAACTCATCCATCTCTCCAAGTTGATTGGCTAAATTGTCAATTCGTACATTTTGAGTGTCCAAATCTGCTCGAGTAATTGGGACAGCAGTTTCACGATCACCCATGATAAGCCAATAATATCGAGAAGGGAGAGACCCGCTCTGATACCACTTGACGCAACACAAGCAAATAGATTTTCAAGCGAAAATCCTAAAGAACAATAGTCTGGAATCCATCAGGAAATTAGAGAGAAAATTCTCCTTGAATTATTTGATAAAAGTTGAGATGATTTCAACCAAGCATGACAGTTGATTAAATACAACGTTCTCACCCATTGGACTGCCCTGGGGAGTTATTGAAAACGTAACAGACAAGAAACAAAAAGTCTGTAAATTGAATACTACGTTCTCACCCATTGGATTGCCCTGGGGAGTTATTGATAACGTAACAGAAAAGAAACAAAAAGTCTATAAATTGAATACTATTTTTAAATGCACTTTTGGAAGGCCAAACGACTTCAAAAGTCCAAAATCCACCATATGTCACAGCATAACAATGAGTTGGACTCATGGCGTCGTTCCCTTTTCGAGAATGTATTATGCGACCCCATCGGAGCTCGAACGCCAAATTTGTAAATTCCTGCTACATCCTTTTTCACTTCTTCGCTCTAGTTCTTCTTCAATCCATTCAGTCATTTGTTCTACATCAACACGTATTGATGTAAATGCCATACACTTTACATACACTTAAGAGAGAATCATACAACTCGAGTCAAATGTCATGATCTTGTTGTGAGTGTCGTCATCATATGCTTGCTAGAAATTGATTATCTATTGTTGTTTATGGATTGATTGATTGTTTGGAGGTGGATAGTGAGTCCTAGCTATTGTTCTTGACTGATTTTAAACCAAATTCACTTAAACTCTAATTTAAATTATGTTTTCTTTTCTTTTCCTTGTTTTGTTTTATTCACAAAATCAAATCAAAACCCAATGGTGTTGGCATGTGTGTGGAAGTCCTTGTGTTTTAGTTTTCATTGCGTGACATTGATAAACATCTCTTTAGATTACAATCTCTATAGGAACGACCCTTGCTTGCTTACTATACTATCATTTGATTTGTGCACTTGCAAAGTTTTAATATTGTTGTTAAAAATTACGAACAAAAGTTAATACATTAAACATCAATAAAGTTACAATACATGTTTGACTTTAGGGCATATTTCTAATAGGGACCCTATAATAGTTGAGATACCCTACTCTAAAGCTCTTCTATCTCACTTTTCTTTTGCTAGGTTTTCTCTCTCAAATAAATGTATATAGCTCTTTTGCAAATACAATTATGACTATAGTAGACATAACCCAATTATTGGTGAACCACTTAAACACTTGTTTTATGTGTATGTGATTGTGATCCTGTTGCTCTAGTGTTAATTCAAAAATCAGCATCAACATAGGCATTTAACTATTTTACTAACATTTTGACTAATGGATGGGGCACTTTTTGGGGTTTATTAGAGTTTGTGCATGCATTTATAGATTTAATAGTTCATGTATGAACTTTAAAATAGACCTAGCGTTTTTTTGGTTTTTTAGGAGAGAGAGGGGGGGGTTGTATAAACACGATTAATCTGTAGCAAATAGAATAAGAATACGGGAACAAAATAATACTTCGGACAATGTTCATATACTGGAACAATGTTCGAATCATGAGTTTCCTTTCCTTTGATGTTGTATTGCTAGCCTACATATAAACAATGTGACATTTTATTTTGAATATGAAAACTCGTCATGGAAATTTTTTGCTTGTAATATTATGTATTCCTTGACTAATGAAATAATATCATAATATTTTAAATAATATATTTTAAGATATTTTTTTAAAAAAAAAAAAAAAAAAAAAAAAAAAAAAAATTAACTCTTGAGTAAAAAGTTCCTAGACCCAATGACGGATCCACATAAGAACAAGGCTAGAATCGCCGCCTAGAGCAAAAAATGTTGACCCCTGCATGTGGTGGATGGATGGGCAAGCCATGGTCACCATCTGTTTTATATATTGCCCTAGAGAAAGCTAGACAACAACTTGCGTGTGTCCTTTTATTTTTTTATTTTTTTTAAAGTTATATGGGCAACGCTTTTCCCCCGGATGAAAAAACAAAAAGGAGGGTTAGCTTTACCCGATAACCCTAAAATTCAATTTGAAAGCATATTTCCCCCAAAGCAACCCAATTCCCCAACCTTAACCCACCCATGTATGTAAGGTTATTATACGTGTGTGTGCGGTGCATTATGGTTAATTTCTTGAAATCTATATGTAATATAAAAGTAGATGATAAATCTTGGATTATATTTTGAAGCAAGACATAATAATCTTAACTAGCCATACAAATAATTACTACATAAATTGATTATGTGCCTATTTTAAAGCATGTTCGTTTTTTTTTATACGGAATGTCTCATAGGGAAAGATAAGTGGTTATTAAGATGATTTGTAAATAGTAAGTAAATTAGTGTTGATTTTACACATCTTTTTACAGGTTTTTTTTTTTAACAAAAATTTGTGGGCTTTTACACATGTACCGTTGAGAGTAAAATTCATGAATCCGATAATGCTTGGACCTGCCATTACCTCTCGAGTGCAATGACACTAGTATAGGGGAGTTTGTAGTAGTGGTGGGCATCAATTCGGCCGAATCAAATAGTAATTATCGGTTTGGTTTTGACCAAGAAAAAGTCAAATATTTTAAAAAATCAAACCATACTATATATGGTTTGGTTTGGTTTTGAACTTTCGTAAACCAATCAAAATCAAACCAGACCGTTTATGTGTATATTTATTTCTAATTAGGTAATAACTATATATGGATATTTGAATTAAGCTATATTAGTTATTGAAATTTGAAGTTTTATGGCATGTTGAGCTTTAGGATTGTTTCGTACTCCAGAAAATAATTTAAGTATGGAACAAATTGTGAATTTGTTAGTTGTAATTGGGTTAAGAATGTTGAAAAAATTGCAAAAGAAAGACAGAGAATGTGGCTTAGGCCCAAACCAGCAAAACCAAATCGTCTTAAATTGGTTTGGTTTGGTTTGGTTTTCTTCATGACTTTTATCGAAATTGAACCGAACCAAATTGTTATATTGTAATTGATTCAACTGTAGTTTTCAGGTAAAACTGATCCAATTCGGATCGTGCCCGCCCCTACTTTGTAGCCCGACTCAGCCTATGAGAGCTTATGATGGACGTTTCCTAGACCCACCCACCAATCAAGTTTCTGAAACATTATCCGCTTCTCTTTTCAGCGGCAGAGAAGGCGTCGTATTTGCTCGTAATGTTGCTATTAGCTCTCTCTGTGCCCTGCTGGTCCCTGCGGTCCTTCACCTAGCTGCTATATGCACGTACTACTCTGCTTTCCCTTTCCCTGCATGTGGTCTTCTTCCCTCCTGCGTGCGGCTTTATACTTTCAAAGTTTTCAAAGACACTGCCATTGATGAAACAGCCATCAGCTAGCTAGCCATTGAATCTCTCTCTCTCTATCTCAACCATGAAAAGCCTATGCATTGATCTTTTTAAGAATTGCAGGTTCTTCTTCTACTCTTACTTATTCCTTACTTTATCTACTGTTCAAATTAATTAAAGTCATTATTATATCCATTATTTTCTTTTCCTATCATTATATTCTAATGTAGAGATACATTAATTGAGTTCAAATGATCCCACAAGTGACGGTGTAAGTTATATTGTTTGTTTCAATTTTTATTGTCCTGCCTCCTAATTCCTTGAAGAGCCAAAAATTTAATTAACCTTGCAAGCTAGCTACCTATTACTGAATACTACTTATAATTTAATTGGAAGTACTCATTTTATTTGCTTCCTGTTCTTCTAATTACAGTGCAACCAGTTTGGCGGGTACTAGGAGCAGCAGAGTTTTAACTTACAGGTTTCAGAGAACCAACTATCAGACGCATCTGCCCTCCACCAAACTTACATTCTCTTCCTACTCGTAAGATCTCTTTTTGTCCATAAACATGCATTCATTTCGTTCAAATTTGTATATATTATCATTTCTCAAGTAAGTTTCTTCTTCTTACATCATTTTTGTTTGTTTTTTCTGTTTCCAGTACTAAAACTTGCTTTGCAACTCTATCAACCGTAACCTCGGAGGTGGAAGAAAAGCAAACATTCAATCCTGACAAAGCTGGCGAGCTAGTTAAGGAGCTGCGGAACAGTTTCAATTCGGGTAGGACGAAAAGCTATGAGTGGAGAATGTCACAATTGGAGAACATTGCAAAGATGCTTGAAGAGAAAGAGAAAGAGATTACTGAAGCTCTTTACAAGGACCTCTCGAAGCCTGAAGTCGAAGCATTTATATCTGAGGTCTCATTCTTTTCCTTTTCTCCATGCTGCTGATTAAATAAGTTCTGCTTCCTTTGTTTTTCATACATAATATTCCCAGTGTGTTTTCCAGTGCTTGTTCATATCATACACTACAATTGTGAATCTGAAAAGCAAAACAAAGGTCTATTCTAGAGGCTACTGGGACACTGATTTAGTATCTGTCAATGTGATACCCCAATTATGTTGGTATGCATATTATACGAGCGTGTGTTACAGTCCCGCATCGATCTATTCTAGAGGCTATAAGGACATTGATATGTATCTGTCAATGAGATATAGTATCTATTATATGTATCGAGGGCACAGAGAAAAACCAATTTGAGCCTTGACAAGGTCCTCAGAATTATTATATGTAGAAAGTTGTTGTATTAGTGATGATGTCAAGTGTAGGCTTGAGCATCCAGAGGAAATGTTTCTGTAGCTCAAGCCTGGACTCGTGGGCTTAAGTATTCGGTGCGGGTTCTGATTTTCTTCTCCTGATTTGACATATTCTTTAGCAATTTTTGGTATCTATTTCCTTCTCCTAGTTTGACTGTATGACATTCTGATAGAATTCATAGTTTCTGTAACTTATATTTTGTATTTTGGATCTGTTTGGGAGAAAGGAAAACAAACTTAGATGAGAAAAAGAGAGAACGTTGCTCTGAAATTAGAAACTGAAGAGTGTGTACTGTTCATTCCATTTCACTGAGCAAATATATCCGTTGAGGAGAGAGAGAAGATAGATTCTTCTCTAACTGCCTTTACACAAGATTTGATCCTAGCCGTTAAAACTATCATCCTATGAGATGATTACATCTGTCACAATCTAACACAACACTTAAGAAGCCACTTGGACTAGGATCCAACGGCCCATATTGCAACCAGCAGATATAGCATTTAAACTAAAAGAATAAAAAACAAACTGAGAAAAAAACTTTGGCGCCAAGGACTTCAGCTCAAAGGGTTATACATCAACACATTCTCTATTGTGATTTAGGGTTTTAAGAAGGCTATTTATATATGTCCTTTAGAGTCTTAGCCTTTGTTTTGGGTTCAGTTACCGAATTTAGTGTTTTATCTCTTATAGGGTTGAGACAGACGAACTGAGGGCAAAATCTGGTGTCTTTGTGGATCACCATTGTCATTGTCATCACCTATTGGCCTAACTTGGTTTGGGGTTTGTTAAACTCTTACATTGTTGTTGATTGTTTGTTTCTTCTGCATTTTTTGAAACCAAGTCAAGTTGTGTTTGTGCGATCTTGAGCTAGGAATCTAGTACAATATTCTTAACAAGGACTTCTAAGAATGCATAAGTAAATGTGCACCTAAGAACTCAGGGAAATTTGAGGAATTTTAGAACGAATGCAGAGAAACCTTTTCTCCAAACCAAAAATTACACTCCAAGCAGTCCTGGCTCATCGTTGCTCATGCAATGACACATGTAAACATTCTTGTTACTCAGAAAACTTTCTTTGAGGAAACACACTCTAAGGATGGCATGGTCCCCATAAATGCTCAGGAGATGGCATGCATATTTGTTGCCTTGTTTCGACCTGAAGCTCAGTGCACTATATACGCTTCTAATTCCCCTTATGTTTGCTTGCTAGAAATTTGACTCCTATTTAGAGGCTCTGAGGCTTATAGTGGGACTACCCCATTGTTTAACACAATGTTTTCACTGTAAATAAGTTTGTCATAAATATTTTTGTGTATTTCATTTCGCATTGTTCTAATAAATATGGATTTTTTATTAATGCAGATTGTTACTGCAAAATCCTCATGTAACGAGGCACTGAAAGAATTAAGACAGTGGATGATTCCCCAAAAGGTGATTAGAGTAAATATCCTTTTGGTCAAGGATGACAAGTCCTCTCATCCACTCTTCTTCCGGACCAATATATCCTCCAATATTTACTATAATAAGTGAAATATAAAGTAAATTTGTTGGTGCGCATTTCAGGTCAACACCTTACACCTGTAATTCTAGAACTCGGTGGAAAAGTCCCCGGCTGTTGTCCATTCAGATGTCGATTTACAAGTAATTGGTTCTCTTATCAGGCATCATGAATTACATGTTTTCGTTGGCTTTAACTGTTTGTGTTAAACTTTTAAGGTTGCAGTTAGGAGGACAATAGCAGGGAAATGGGCATTGAACAATGGACAAGCTTGTATCGGTGTTGATTACATTATCACTACAAAGACTTTGCTCCAAAGTTGGTACGATGCTCCCCCCTAGGAAAACTTAAAATTGTGAATAAAAAAAGTTCGTATGTTTTATTACGCATTGGTCTCATATTACATAGGCAAACTGTCTCATGTGGCTATACGCTTATTTAGTCTCTCCATCTAATACCTTGACCTTTTCGGTTGGATACCTCAACATGGTTTCAAAGAATTTTCATTCTCCTCAAAAGAGGAAGGTTCACCACAAGTGTGCATGCATGAGCGCATGCGACTATTTAGCCTCTGCGTCACACTTCAATATGTTTCAGGTTACTTTTCTGAAACCATGTCTACTTGACAGATAGAAGCTCTAAAAATTGAAACTGAGCAATTTTTGGGAAAGATCCAATGAATTCAAAGGATATATCCAGGATAGTAAGCTCAACCCAGTTTTAAACGTTTGGCAAAAATGTTGGATGAGGATAAGGTCTCTGATAAGATTGTCCTCGGAGGCCAAATGGATGAGAACCAATTGTGAGTGACAATGACCTTCCTTGGTTGTTAAGAAATGTTACAACTGTATATAAATAGAATGTACAATTCTTCTTAAATGAATTCTCCTTATATCATGTATTCGATGCAGAAAAATAGCTCCAACTATCTTGTTAGATATCCCAGAAGAGTCTCCGCTTATGCAGGAGGAGATATTTGGGCCATTGATGCCTATTGTCACTGTAAGTGCTCGAATTACATCATCACTCTTAACATTGACCTAAGAGATTACATTCTGCTCTAATTTCTTTTTACTTCACTTTTATATTAATTCTTTTTCTTTATACTTAATTTTCCAACTTGCACTACATTTTCAGTATTTTTTTTTCCTTTAATCGAGTAAGAAATTAAGTTTTTTTTCCCTTTAATACTGAAAAAGGAGTATAGTTAGAAAATTAAGTATAAGGAAAAGAAATAATATAAAAGTGAAGTAAAAAAGAAATTAATGTAGGGTAAGGATAGAATAGGAAAGAGAAAGAACAAAAGTGATTAAAAAGCAAAAGGGAGCGTAAGTGGAGAAAATGAGAGTGGGAAAATCAGCTCCCTAAGTTAATTAGTATTAATCAATTACTATAATTTGCCTTGAGCCAAGCTATGAGCTATTGATGTAGAAAGAGAGAGAGACGAAACGTGTTACGTGTGTAGTTAGAAACATGATCTATCCAACTTATTAATTAATTAATGTGGCTAAACAAAATGAGCTTTTGTTTAGTGGAAACTACGTAGAAATTATAAACAAGAAAAGGTGGGGAGCATTTTTGTTCACCACTTTAATCTAAGGTGTATCATTACTACACTTTTCAACACTTGACATGTGTCTATGGGTATAATTATGGTTCTACAAATACAATCAAAAAGTTAACTATTGTTATCCCGATAGATACATGTCACGTGTTGAGAAACCACCTCCTTAGACAAATTTTAGGGATAATTTGAAAAAATACATCTCCAACCATGCTCCCTATCCACCTCCTAAAATAGGGAAACCTCTAGCAGCTTATAAATCCGAAGAGAGAGAAAGGATTCCTCGTGACTCCCTATAATTTAATGCTGCTGGACCATAAACCCTAGATCACACTCAGCTCTGACAAATCAACAGAGAGAAAAATAACAATCTTTTTGTGTGTGTGTGTGTGTGTGGGTATACATATCTTTAGTCAAATAGGAAAGAAGCATACATATCTTCAGTCAAAGTCTTTGTATGTTATCTATAATGTTAAAATTGGAAAGTTTGCATGTTTTCGCTGAACTTGTATTCTTCCTATTATTACGATCCATGAGTGAAGAACACAATTTCTATTTATAGATGTTTTAAAACCATGTAAATAATCAAGTTCACCCAACAATAATTTTTTTTTAAACACATTTAAATTCAAGTTTAATCCTATTAATAAAATTTCATATAGATAGGCTGTCCAAGACAACGCAATTGAGGTTAAATTTGTTTTCTACAATTTTATTTGTCATAAATAATTAAGACATTAATGTGCAAAACATGTTTGTTGGTTGAACTTGGAGATTTGCATGGTTTAAATGGAAACCTAGAATATTCGTTGTCTTTATCACTTGACTTGGCTGCTACTGAGAGTTTTGAGAGGCCTTAAAATGAGCATGTTCATCAGTTTTAGTTAAGAATTGACAAGATAACTTATTAAAGGAGCCATTCAACTCAATGCACATGACTTGGAAAACTAATTTTTGTTTTTTAATATGCACAGCTTTCTCATAGACTTTTCTCTGATCAAGAGTTCCACGACTTTAATGTTTTTGAGGTTACTATTTGCGTGATATAGTAGGGGTTCAAAAGTTTCCCACATGTATGCTTGCCACTGCACTATGTCACATGGTATGACATGAGATGAGAGCTTGTTTCTTATGCTCTTGATTAAGTTGTGTGAGAACCTGCGCGTGGTTTTCTTAATTAAGTTGTGTGCAGACTGTAGAGCCAAGCTTCTCTTCCAGCAGCCAGTTCCAGGTCAAGGTCCATTTTATCGTTAAAAGATACCATGTGGGCACTATGAGGGCAAATTGGTCAATTTGTACCTTATAAACAATTAAAAACTGAAAAATAAAATAAGATCAAATATATACACAATAAAAAAGAATTATAACATAAATAGAGAAAATACATTCTTTGTTTTTCAGAATACTGTTTCCCACTCTCCAAACTACCCAGTTGGATTATAAACCATAGATCACACTCAGCTATGACAAATCAAACAGAAAAAAAAGTTTTGGTATATTGGATTATTTTTCGATATATGAATATGATATGGGGTTACCATATCTTGGAACGTATTCAAGTTCTGCACTGCTTTCCGAGGGCTAGGCTTAGTCATTTTAAAGTGATGAAATTTTAGGACAGCTAACGGTAAGGAGGAGATTGGCTAAAACAAATAAAAAATTATATCCTTAATTTTCTAAATAAAAAAATTATTAAGTAAAATGAAAGTTAGGCACAAATTCAAACGGATTTCAACAGTTTAGTCGGGGGTTGAGGTTGTTGCTCTATCTGTATTGTTTTTGTTTATTTTATTTTTATAGATTTGTTCATTTGATATTTTTTCTTATTTGGATTGTTGGGTCTCAATAAAATTTCTCTAAAAAGAAAATATTAAAACCCTGACACATTGGAAAATAGGAAAGAAGCATGCATATCTTTAGTCAAAGTCTTTGTCTGTTATCTGTAATGTTAAAATTGTTAAGTTTGCATGTTGTCGCTGAACTTTAGTGAAATGAGGTTGATACTTGAATGCCGTTTTCTCTTTCCTATTATTATGACCCATGAGTCAAGATAGTGGCTGCACTTGAAACCTATATATTCGTTGTCCTTATCACTTGACTTGGTTGCTACTGAGAGTTTGAGAGACCTTAAATGAGCGTGTTCATTGGTTTTAACTAAGAATTGACAAAATAACTTATTAAAGGAGCCATTCAACTCAATGCACATGATTGGAAAAAACTAATTCGATTCTGTTTGTTTTTAGTATGCATAGCTTTCTCATAGACTTTTCTCTGATCAAGGGTTCCTCAACTTTGATGTTTTTGGGAGAAAAATATATTGGAATTACTGAAATGAAATTGATGGAAAGTGAGAGGTAACTATTTGCTTGACATAGGGGTTCAGAAGTGTCCCACCCGAATGCTTGACACTATGTCACATGGCATATCGTAGGTAACAAGCTTCAACAAATGCAACCTCTCCAAATAGAAAGATATTGAGAAGGGTTTATGTCATGAATGATCCTTGAATTTTTCAAAGGTCCTCATTTGAATTCTCAAACTTTCCAATCAATCAATGTGTCCTTAACCCTCTGTTTGGATAAAGAAATTGAAACCCTGAAAAACAAAGGAAATAACATTACATATGTTGCTCGACAAGGCAGTGTACTCTCCTTGACGAAACCTAAATGTGAAACCCTGAATGGAAAGCAAATGATGTTTTTGAGCAAAAGTTTGAGTTCTAGAACTAAATTGAGCTATATTTTGATGTAACAAGTTGGTCAGGTGATGATACGTGACCAATTTTCATAAAGGTTGTTGGAATGCGACAATAAAGACCAAATTGATGTGAGACCAAAATATAAAGGACCTATTGATTGATTTGAACGTTCGAGGACTAAAATAAGAACTTTTAAAATAGAGTACCTGTAATAAAAACCCGTGCTGAGAAACTTGTTTGACGAGATTGTGGATTGACATTCATGCCAATGTATTATCATCACAACAAGATAGAAGACTTCCATTTCTTCTTGATGCCAAAGCTAGCTATCCATATGTTACTGCAATGGCGACCCAATTAGTTGAGTCCAGTTCTAGAGACTGAAACACATGCCTCATATAGAATCCAGCAAAATGTTCTTGCTTTATATGTTCCCGCTGTACAATTTATTCCAACTCCCTGTTCCATTTGTTTGGCTGGTCATCTTCAAGTCCAAAGCTGATCACGAGCCTTCCACCGAAAATCATAACCGCAAATGTTGATTAATTGTCCTCTAAGTTATGATTTTGTTGTATTTTGAGTGTACGTTCACTGTTTTGTTTTTTTTATTGAGGAATCACTATTCTTTACATCAAACAGAGCACTGTGAGTGAAGTTTTAACCGAATGCTCGAGTTTTGGCCTAATAGAAATTAATAATGCTCTAAACTATTACTTATCAATAAATAAAAATTGAGAAAAAAAAAAAAAAAAAAAAAAAAAAAAAAAACACAGTATCTATATATTTGGGTGAAACACAAGACATTTATATTCTAATAATATTAAAAATCCACCAGCATGCTCAGGTAGTATAAGGTTCTTTTTTTAATCGCCTATACATATGTTCTACCTCACCAGATGCCCTCTCTACTTAGGACATCTATTTGCAGGGTTGTCCTTCAAATTTGAGTTACTTTTTATTTCAATTTATTGGCCTGCTGTGTAGACTTAATGGGATTTTGTTTTCATCTAGATAATATTCTTATGTTAAATTATTGAGAGCTTTCTAATTGTTACGATGACGTATTTCAGTCAACTTAGTGAATCTCAATATGCGGTTTTCTATAATTACGTTGTATTATTTAATTTGCAGCTGACACAAAAATATGAAAACTCAATGGAATGGTATTCGAGCATTTGGTATAGGACTTTGTACATTTATATATTATATAGTATGGATAATATGAAAACCCAATCTTTTTAGTATATATTTTTTTTATCACATTAATTCAATCCCAAGACTTGCACTTTGTATCACACTTGCCACAGGAATGGTAGATTAGCCAAATTCAATCCCACCTTTTTTTGACAGATTGAGGAGCATTTATATGTACTCCATTGTACTGCCAATGTGATCATCTTTGTGATAATCTTTAGCTAGAACAATGTTTATTGTAGTTGAATATCCTCGACCTCACAGTTTGTTGCCAAAGATTTGTTGGTTTATTGAAATTTGTATTTCTTCATTGTGGATTTCATAGCTATGATTGGTGAAAAATAAACATTCACCAAGTATGCTCGAATTATATTACACAAGAAATAGCACAAGATAAATAAAACATTCAGGTAGCCAAAGGATCAAGAGCAAGCAATTCACCACATGTCATCATATGTACCGGCTTCGACAAATGCATCATCTGAGTTGAGAGGAAATGAGAAACTTGTTTCATTGTTGGGCGAGATTTTGGGCTGGAATTCAAGCATGAAAATGCTATCTTCACAAGAGAGACCACTTCGCTTGCAACTTGATGCGTAGGAGGGAAAATGCGTTGGTCCAAAACATCCACAATTGGTATTTGATGGGCTGGTAATGCAGATGATGTGAGGAGGAGGAGGATGAAGAGACTGATGAGAAAGATGAGAAAGATCTCCAGGATGCTTTCCCATAATTATTTCCAACGTGACCACACCAAAGCTATAAACATCACAGTCCTCATTCACTTTCATTGTGTAAGCAAGCTCTGCTCATAGAAAACCTCAGAGAAGTGGCATTATTAGTTTATAGACATAACTATTCAATGGAATTTTAACTAAAATATAGCATGCTCAAATCGACGTATTAGTTTATAGCTTAAGAGAAGTGAAAATGTGTTTATTAGTATATTTTCTAAATCAAAGAAGTGAAAATGTGTTTATGTTAACCGCTCCTAATGATGAAAATGAAGCATTGGTCTAAAAGTAAAAGCTTAAAAAGTGCTAAATACAGAGAACATGGAATCACAATATTACCTGGTGCCATATAGCCATGTGTGCCTGCAGCCGCAGTCCAATTGGTTGAGTATGGATTCAAAACTTAGCTGTGCCAAAGTCTGAAACACATGCCTCATATTCAGAATCCAACAAAATGTTCTTGCTTGAGATGTCACGATGTACAATCGGTGGCAAGCAATCGTGGTGCATGTAAGACAAGGCATGAGCTAAGCCTTTAACAATATTCACCCTTTTACTCCACCCCAACTCTTTAGCTTCTTCATCTTTGCTCAACATTGCGGCCAAGCTACCTCTTTCAAGATACTCATACACCAAAAACGAGTGTCGTTTATGTGCACAGAAACCATAGAGCTTCACAATATTCTGATGTCTTATCTCACTGAGCGCCCTTACTTCATTCAAGAACTCCTTCTGAAATTTTGTCTCACCGTCCCATAGCATATGGAGTTTCTTCACGGCCACTATGTCTCCAGATGGCAAATTCACTCTGTAGACGCTTCCATGTCCTCCCTTCCCAATGCAATATGTGGAATCAAAATCTTCTGTTGCCCTTATGATTTCCTCATACATTGATTTTCCATCAAAATTTAAAACTGAAAAGGAAATTTCTCCATGCATTTGGTTTTGTTTAGTATCTTGATGCTTCTTCTTTCTTTGCACTATTACAAAGACAATTGTAAAGAGAGCATATAGAAGTACAAATACTGCTAGAACAGAGAATATGACATTGTGGTCCTTTTTTGAGCCATGTGCATTACAGGGTGGCAGTAGAGCTCCAACTTTGCCACACAATCCTTTGTTCCCTTTCAATCTTTCTGGCGGAGCTTCTTCAAATGCCTTGATGTTGGGAAGGGGACCTTCCAAGTGATTGTAGGATATGTCAACGTCCGACAAGCCGTGCATCTCTTCGAAACTTGATGGTATGGAACCCGAAAGATTGTTGTGGGAAAGATTGAGCGTCACCAAACTCTCCATATTACTCATTTTTGATGGTATGCTACCTTCAAGAGAGTTATGACTTAAAAAAAAAAAAAAAAAAAAAAAAAAAAAAAAAAAAAAAAAAAAAAAAAAAAAAAAAAAAAAAAAAAAAAAAAAAAAAAAAAAAAAAAAAAAAAAAAAAAAAAAAAAAAAAAAAAAAAAAAAAAAAAAAAAAAAAAAAAAAAAAAAAAAAAAAAAAAAAAAAAAAAAAAAAAAAAAAAAAAAAAAAAAAAAAAAAAAAAAAAAAAAAAAAAAAAAAAAAAAAAAAAAAAAAAAAAAAAAAAAAAAAAAAAAAAAAAAAAAAAAAAAAAAAAAAAAAAAAAAAAAAAAAAAAAAAAAAAAAAAAAAAAAAAAAAAAAAAAAAAAAAAAAAAAAAAAAAAAAAAAAAAAAAAAAAAAAAAAAAAAAAAAAAAAAAAAAAAAAAAAAAAAAAAAAGAGGGAAAATGCGTTGGTCCAAAACATCCACAATTGGTATTTGATGGGCTGGTAATGCAGATGATGTGAGGAGGAGGAGGATGAAGAGACTGATGAGAAAGATGAGAAAAGATCTCCAGGATGCTTTCCCATAATTATTTCCAACGTGACCACACCAAAGCTATAAACTCACAGTCCTCATTCACTTTCATTGTGTAAGCAAGCTCTGCTCATAGAAAACCTCAGAGAAGTGGCATTATTAGTTTATAGACATAACTATTCAATGGAATTTTAACTAAAATATAGCATGCTCAAATCGACGTATTAGTTTATAGCTTAAGAGAAGTGAAAATGTGTTTATTAGTATATTTTCTAAATCAAAGAAGTGAAAATGTGTTTATGTTAACCGCTCCTAATGATGAAAATGAAGCATTGGTCTAAAAGTAAAAGCTTAAAAGTGCTAAATACAGAGAACATGGAATCACAATATTACCTGGTGCCATATAGCCATGTGTGCCTGCAGCCGCAGTCCAATTGGTTGAGTATGGATTCAAAAACTTAGCTGTGCCAAAGTCTGAAACACATGCCTCATATTCAGAATCCAACAAAATGTTCTTGCTTGAGATGTCACGATGTACAATCGGTGGCAAGCAATCGTGGTGCATGTAAGACAAGGCATGAGCTAAGCCTTTAACAATATTCACCCTTTTACTCCACCCCAACTCTTTAGCTTCTTCATCTTTGCTCAACATTGCGGCCAAGCTACCTCTTTCAAGATACTCATACACCAAAAACGAGTGTCGTTTATGTGCACAGAAACCATAGAGCTTCACAATATTCTGATGTCTTATCTCACTGAGCGCCCTTACTTCATTCAAGAACTCCTTCTGAAATTTTGTCTCACCGTCCCATAGCATATGGAGTTTCTTCACGGCCACTATGTCTCCAGATGGCAAATTCACTCTGTAGACGCTTCCATGTCCTCCCTTCCCAATGCAATATGTGGAATCAAAATCTTCTGTTGCCCTTATGATTTCCTCATACATTGATTTTCCATCAAAATTTAAAACTGAAAAGGAAATTTCTCCATGCATTTGGTTTTGTTTAGTATCTTGATGCTTCTTCTTTCTTTGCACTATTACAAAGACAATTGTAAAGAGAGCATATAGAAGTACAAATACTGCTAGAACAGAGAATATGACATTGTGGTCCTTTTTGAGCCATGTGCATTACAGGGTGGCAGTAGAGCTCCAACTTTGCCACACAATCCTTTGTTCCCTTTCAATCTTTCTGGCGGAGCTTCTTCAAATGCCTTGATGTTGGGAAGGGGACCTTCCAAGTGATTGTAGGATATGTCAACGTCCGACAAGCCGTGCATCTCTTCGAAACTTGATGGTATGGAACCCGAAAGATTGTTGTGGGAAAGATTGAGCGTCACCAAACTCTCCATATTACTCATTTTTGATGGTATGCTACCTTCAAGAGAGTTATGACTTAAATCCAACTCATTCAATTGAACTAACTTCCCCAACTGAAGTGGAATTACTTGAGATAACTTGTTGTTGCTCAAATTCAGATGGTATAATTTGAGCAAGTCACCTAGAATGCTGGGAATTGAGTCACTGAATTTATTTGTTGACAAGTCAAGATAATCAAGATCATTCAATGATCCAAATTCAAAGGGTATATGACCTGAAAGCTGATTTCCATTCAACATCAACCTCTCCAAAGAAGTCAGTCTTCCGAATCCCATTGGAATCAACCCAACTAAATGATTCGAAGAGAGATCTAGCTCTTGAATTTGGGTTGCATTGCCTATCTCTGGTGGGATGCTCCCAGTAAGGTTGTTTCCTGCAAGTCGCAGGGTTGTCAACTTTGGGCATTTTTGCCAATTGTGTGAGATTTCTCCATAAAAGTTGTTATGGCTTACATCTATAAAATGAAGATTCGGATAAACGCCAAAGTCTTCAGATATATTGCCTGTGAATTGGTTCTGTTCAAGACGGAGTCTGAATAAGCTCGTGCAGTTTTTCAAGCTTTTGGGGATTGGACCCGTCAAATAGTTTCTGAATACTGAAAAGTTTGTGAGTTTTCCACCTTGGCAAATATTTTGGGGCAGATAACCAGTAAATTGGTTTATAGCCAATTGCAGTCTAGTCAACTTCTTGAGATTCTCTATATCTTGGGGGATAGGGCGGGAAAGTTTGTTATCACCTAGGTGGAAGTGTTCCAAGTTGCGCAAGTCACCGATTGAAACAGGAATTGAACCATTGAGTTGATTGGAATCCAAGTACAAAGTGTTTAGGTTTATTAAGTTACTAATATTTGGAGGGATGAGACCACTTAAACTGTTATTGGACAACTCTAGATCTACAAGAGATTTCAAGTTCCCTATCTCCTTGGGAATCAAACCAGAAAGTTTATTATCATAGCGATAGAGATGGGTAAGGCTTGTTAGATTGCCTAGTGATCTTGGAATTGAACCATTGAGTTGATTCTTACACAAATATAGCTCTGCAAGAGATTTCAGGTTGCCTATCTCATTGGGAATTTCCCCCAACAAAGTATTTTCAAGGAGACCAAGATATGTAAGATTTCTTAGGAGACTGATTTCTGGTGGGATTCTCCCAGACAACTGATTGGTGGACAAATCCAGATTTACTAGAGATTTCAAGTTCCCTATCTCCTGATGAGGAATAGAACCAGAAAGTTTATTATCATAGAGATAGAGATGGGTAAGGCTTGTTAGATTGCCTAGTGATCTTGGAATTGAACCATCGAGTTGATTCTTATACAAATATAGCTCTGCAAGAGATTTCAGGTTGCCTATCTCATTGGGAATTTCCCCCAACAAAGTATTTTTAGAGAGACCAAGATATGTAAGATTTCTTAGGAGACTGATTTCTGGTGGGATTCTCCCAGACAACTGATGGCGGACAAATCCAGATTTACTAGAGATTTCAAGTTCCCTATCTGCTTGGGAATCAAACCAAAAAGTTGATTAACACACAAGTACAAATTGTTTAGCTTTATTAAGTTACCAATATTTGGAGGGATGAGACCACTTAAATTGTTGTAAGACAAACTTAGATCTACAAGAGATTTCAGGTTGCCTATCTCTTTAGGAATTTCCCCCCAACAAAGTATTTTCATAGAGACCAAGAAACCTAAGATTTCTTAGGAGACCGATTTCTGGTGGGATTCTCCCAGAGAAACTGATTTTGGGAGAGATTGAGATGGTAGAGTTTGGAGAGGTACTGATTTGAGGTGGGATGACATCAAGAGTTTGTTCAAGCTGAGGTCAAGATATTCAAGATTAGGGAAGGATAAGAATGAAAACTCGTGTAGCGTACCTTGAATACTACAAGTGGAAAGGTTTAGCTTGCTGACACTTCCAACTGCGTTGCATGAAACACCAGTCCAAGTGCATGGGCTTGTTTTTTGTTTTGGATTGTTGCTGGAAGAATTGGTGGAATTAATATTATAAGTGGGAGGGTACCAGGTGAGATGATTGAGGGCTTGATTGGAAATAAACTGGCTTTCCATTTGAGAAGAGCCTTTGCTTCAGTTTGAGAGGTAGAAGTAGCAGAAGGAAAAGCAACCCCAATTTGGTGATGACACATACAAGAAGATGACAAGGCAATAAGGCAAGAAGCATAGTTTAGCGGAAGTTAAAGATGTCATGGTTATTGTTTGTGTGGTATACGTATATTGTATGGGTCGTGCCTTACTACTTATATAGAGAACTGATTCCTTCCACGAAGAAAGCAGAAAAGTCTTTTGGGAGTGGATTAGTCTTTGGGTTTCAACTGAGCATTGAAAAGTCTTTCGGATCTCATCTATAATATCAGTTTTCTTTTGAGTAAAGGTCTCAGTCTTTCATTCTCTAAATTTAAATGCCAAATTTGTATTTTCTGGATGAAATAATGAAATGAAAATGATGGAGGTGAGAGATAACCATATGCATGACCTAGGGGTTTAGATGTGTCCCACCCACCTGAATGCTTGAGTGAGCTTGCTGCCATGTTAGAATTGTAATCAAGTCTTTGTCTCAGTGGTCTTACAATGGCTGGCGTCAAAGTCTTTGTCTTTCGTTCTTTATAGTTATAGTTAAATGAAATAAAATGGATGGAAGTGAGAGAGTCATTGATGGTTTGTTTTGCCGTTTATTGGATAAACTCATTTGATTATTGTGCTCCTCCGATGCCACTACCGATGCCATTGATGTTCAATAAAAGGCTGTGTGAAGCCTTTGATTCTTCATTTGATTATTCCTTGTGCCAAAATCAACAGGTATGAGAGAGAGCTTTATGATACCGACACATTACCTTTTGTTTCTTGGCCAACAATGACACCTATACGTCTTAAGAGCTTTATGCTTGGAAATATATAGATAGGAAGATATCATAGAAAAAGTCTTATTCCCAAATTGAAATATAGCAAAATGCACACGTGGTCTTTCTCACCAGTCACCCCTCGCCTTCCTTTTTATATATAAAAATATATATAATTCTAAACTTGCTCTATTTTATTTTGTACTAGTTGAAAGATTGGGGCCGCAGAGATAGAAGAGGCCTTGCAAGAACCCCTCAATGAAGCTGAGAGGAAACTTCGGTTTTCATTTCCAGGCAGGTGAAGGGAAGAAAATTCATTGAATTCTTTCCCCAAGAAAAGCAGCACTCATTGATTGCTAGGCGTAAAATCAGCTCAGTTATGGCTTCACTTTTGATCTTTAGTATTGTAAATTATGGTATTGGATTTGGGGTGAAAATGAAATGAATGGGTCAATTTTTGTTTCTTAGTCGATTGAAAAATTGATGTCGTGAATTTGAAATGGCTGATGAGCTATTTGTATTAGGTGAAAGAAAATATAAACTAATGATAAAAGAGCCCCCAAAGTAGGGGTGGAAACTGGCTTGACATTTCCCCATCATATTAAGCGTGTCCACTCTTTCAGGATCAAGTGTGGAAAATCGGTTCTAATCAGGTAATGTGTCATTGTTGCTTGTCCTCTTGATTAAGTTGTGTGAGAACTGATACTTACACCTCAAATTAATAGCCAACTTAATTTTTTAATTTATCAACACAAAATACATCGGTAATATATTAGCTTGCTTGCTTTGTAGTTGAATGAAAGCTATTTCTTCAGATTTTTTTTTATAAAAAAAATCGGTTATTCCCCTTGAACTTGTACATAACTTTCATTTTGCCAATTGTTTTTTCATTTGAGTAAATTCAGGATACAAACTTCTTTCTTTTATAGTCAATCTACCCTCTAGTGCTAAATTTCCTTACATCCCAACTATTTTACAGTTAAAAGATACCATGTGGGCACTCTGAGGACAAATTGGTCAATCTGTATCTTATACATAATTGAAAAATTGAAAAATAAAATAAACATTTGCACAAAAATAAAATATTTACAATAAAAATAGAGAAAACACTTTTTTGTTTATTTTATTTTTATAGCTTTGGTCATTTTATATTTGTTCTTATTTGGATTGTTGGGTCTCAATAAAGTTTCTCTACCAAGAAAATATTAGAACCCTAACACACTGAAAAATATGAAAGAAGCATACATATCTTCAGTCAAAATCTTTGTCTATTATCTATAATGTTAAAATTGGAAAGTTTGCACTGAACTTTAGTGAAATGAGGTTGATACTTATATGATGTTTTCTCCTTCCTATTATTAAGACCCATGAGTCAAGAAAATGATTTCTATCACATATTTGTAGAAGTTTTAATTAAACCATGTAAATATCCAAGTTCACCCAACAATAATTTTTTTTTAAAACACATTTAAATTCAAGTATAATCCTATTAATAAAATTTCATATGCAGAGGCTGCCAAGACGACCTAATTGAGGTTAAATTTGTTTTCTACAATTTTGTTTGCAATAAGTAATTAAGACATTAATGTGCAAAACATTTTTGTTGGTTGAACTTGGAGATTTACAGGTTTTAAATAGAAACCTATATATTCGTTGCTTTATCACTTGACTTGGCTACTACTGAGAGCTTGAGAGGCCTTAAAATGAGCTTGTTCATCGGTTTTAACTAAGAATTGACAAGATAACTTATTAAAGGAGCCATTCAATTCAACGCACATGACTGGAAAAATAATTCGATTCTATTTGTTTGTTAGTATGCACAGTTTTCTCATAGACTTTTCTCTGATCAATGGCTCCTCGACTTTGATGTTTTTTGGGAGAAAAATATATTGGAATTACTAAAATGAAATTGATGGAAAGTGAGAGGTTACTATTTGCTTGACATAGGGGTTAAAATTGGAAAGTCTTTGTCTATTATCTATAATGTTAAAATTGGAAAGTTTGCATGTTGTCGCTGAATTTTATTGAAATGAGGTTGATACTTAAATGTCGTTTTCTCCTTCCTATTATTACAACCCATGAGTCAAGAAAATGATTTCTATCATATATTTGTAGATGTTTAAATTAAACCATGTAAATATTCAAGTTCACCCAACAATATATATATATATATATATTTTAAACACATTTTGATTCAAGTATAATCCTATTAATACAATTTCATATACAAAGGCTGCCCAAGACGACCTAATTGAGGTTAATAGCTTATTTGAGACTGTTTCTTTAGGAAGCACTTCTTCTCATAAGCGCTTATAAAAAAATCACTTTTATTATAAAGTTGTTGAAAATTTTATACAAAATCGAAGTGCTTCCTGAAAAAGCACTTGGGAGTGCTTTCTAAAGAAGCACATGACAGGTGCTTCTCCATAAAGCACTTCTAAAGCCCACAAGCACTTCGAAAACTTTTTGCCAAACGCTGTCAGAAGTGTTTTTAGTTTTCAAAAGTGCTTTTAACCCTTTCAAAAGCACTCCCAAACTAGCCATAAATTTGTTTTCTACAATTTTGTTTGCGATAAATAATTAAGACATTAATGTGCAAAACATTTTTGTTGGTTGAACTTGGAGATTTGCAAGGTTTAAATAGAAACCTATATATTCGTTGCTTTATCACTTGACTTGGCTGCTACAAAGAGTTTGAGAGGCCTTAAAATGAGCGTGTTCATCAGTTTTAACTAAGAATTGACAAGATAACTTATTAAAGGAGCCATTCAACTCAACACACATGACTGGAAAAAAAATTCGATTCCCCAATTTGGTGATGAACCATACAAGAAGATGACAAGGCAATAAGGCAGGAAGCATAGTTTAGTGGAAGTTAAAGATGTCATGGTTATTGTTTGTATGGTATACGTATATTGTATGGGCCGTGCCTTACTGGTTATATATAGTGTGGATTAGTCTTTGGGGTTCAGTTGAGCATTGAAAAGTCTTTCAGATCTCATCTATAATTAGGTTTCTTTTGAGTAAAGATCTCAATCTTTCATTCTCTAAATTTGAATGCCAATTTTGTATTTTCTGGATGAAATAATGAGATGAAATTGATGGAGGTGAGAGATGACCATATGCATGACATAGGTGTCCCACCCACTTGAATGCCTAAGTGAGCTTGCTGCCATTATTAGAATTGTAATAAAATCTTTGTTTCAGTGGTTGTTCTTACAATGACTGGAGTCAAAGTCTTTGTCTCGTTCTTTATAGTTGTAGTTAAATGTCAATTTTGCATTTGCTGGACTGAATTAATGAAATAAAATGGATGGAAGTGAGGGCATTATTGATGGTTTGTTTTGTCGTTCATTTGATTACTTCATCCCCAATTCCCATTGATTCCCGCCATTGATGTTCAATAAAAGACTATGTGAAGCCTTTGATTATTCCTTGTGCCAAAATCAACAGGTATGAGAGCATCGGTTCTAATCAGGTAATGCGTCATTGTTGCTTGTCCTCTTGATTAAGTTGTGTGAGAACTGATTCTTACACCTCAAATTAATAGTCAACTTAATTTTTTAATTTATCAACGCAAAATACATCGGTAATATATTAGCTTGCTTGCTTTTGTAGTTGAATGAAAGCTATTTCTTCATATTTTTTTATAAAAAAAATCGGTTATTCCCCTTGAACTTATACATAACATTCATTTTGCCCATTGTTTTTTCATTTCAGAAAATTCAGGATACAAACTTTTTTTTTAAATCAATCTACCCTCTAGTGCTAAATTTCCTTACATTCTAACTATTTCACAGTTAAAAGATACCATGTGGGCACTCTGAGGGCAAATTGGTCAATTTGTATCTTATATATAATTAAAAACTTTTGTGAAATGAAGTTGATACTTGAATGCCGTTGTCGCCTTCCTATTATTATGCCCCATGAGTCAAGAACACGATTTCTTATTGAAGCAAGGACCCATTCAACTCAATGCACATGACTGGAAAACTAATTCGATTTGTTTGTTTTTTAGTATGCACAGCTTTCTCATAGATTTTTCTCTGATCAAGGGGTTCCTTGACTTTGATGTTTTCGGGAGAAAAATATATTAGAATTACTGAAATGAAATTGATGGAAAGTGAGAGGTTATTATTTGCTTGACATAGGGGTTTAGAAGTGTCCCACCTGAATGCTTGACACTATGTCACATGGTATATCGTAGGTAAC